ATTGGTCAATCTTGTACCTGAACAACTTCCACAATTGTCCTCATGACAGCTGCAGCCGCCCTCTCTGTATAATGCCCCCTCGCCACGATCCGATCGAACAATTCTCCACCCTCACACAATTCCATGACAATGTGAACTGCATTGTCATCCTCATATGTATCCTTCAAGCTGACAATATTGGGATGCTTAGGCAAATGCCTCATAATCTCAACCTCTCTCCTCACGTCCTCAATATCCACAGCAGTCCTAAGCTTCTTTTTCGATATTGATTTGCAGGCAAATTTCTCGCCTGTATCCACATCTGTACACAAATATGTGATTCCAAATTCACCTCTACCTAGCTCACGACCCAGATCATAACTCTGGTTAATGTCACGGCCCGTTGGATCCTTTAACACAACAAGCTTGTCTCCAGATCTATGATTTGCATGGTAATCTATTGAGAATGGATTGGGTTTGTTCTTTTTCTTTTCCTTTTTCCTCTTCTCTGAAGAACCAACAGGAACCACACAGCAATTTCCCATGATTCAAAGGTTCAAATCTTGATATTTACCTATATCCCGGAGATTCTGAAGGAAACCCAATGAATCATATTAGAATTGCCACTGAAAAATTGTATGTTGAGCATAAATCAAGAAAATCAATACGAATCCAACCCACAGTTTTGAAGAACCACGAGAAATATAGAAAAGAACCAATCAAATATTGGACTTTCCCAAGAAAAAATCCAAAAAACATCCACAAGCCAAGAAAACAGAGACAGGCAGGTTTTGGAAGAAATCTCCAAGAACTCCGGAACATTATCAAAATGCTTGAAAAACAAATATATTGGCTAGAAAAACAACAAAAAGATCCAAAAAAAACAAGAGTTGCAGAGATATCAAGAAAACCCAGAAGCCATGAAGGTACCTATAATGAAATGTTGCAGAGAATAACCCACCTTGGATCTTTTCCTTTTCTTGGGATTTTTGGGAAAAACTGAGAAAACGCAGATGGGTTTGAAGGTCAAAGTATTGAATTAATTAGTTAAAGATAGAAATAAAAGGGTGGTTGGGGAAGTGACGGCAGGGTAAAAAGATGGATTCAAGTTGTAAATCCGCCATGGATGTTGAAAGAGAGAGTCAAAGCTCTTTTGCAGAGACTTTTCTCTCTCCTAGCCCCCAATTCCTATCTGTCGCTTTCTCTCTCCAACTTAGGTAATTTTTTTTCTCTTTTTACTCTCAGATTCATCCACAGAATAAGACAGAACAACCCCTTTTCTTTTGTTCTTTTTTTCCCCCCTTCTTTTTCTCTTCCCAAAATATCCAAACAAACTTCAATTCTCCTTTTTTCTTTTTTTTTAACCTTTTTGGTTTTTAATATAATTTTTACAATATAATGGGCAGATTTCCGATCCATCCATTTATCAATTTACAGCCAATAATTTAAATTGCACATTTATAAAAATATAACAATGGTTGAGATTAATTCAATTTTTATCTTATTTCATCTAATGATATAAAATTCATTGTCACTCAAATATATTATTTTCTCTCCACGACTCTCGATGCCACAAAATTTAATCAACACACTCTGAAATGTCAAAGAATCGCATTTAATGAAAATTTAAACCCTTATTCAAATTTAAATAAAAAAAAGATAAAAAATTTGATTTGATATATACCTCTCCAATGAAAAAACTCAAATTTAAATGAGAACAAAACTAAATTTAAAATAAAATAAAAAGTGACAATTGAATTTTTAAAGAATGGTGTAATCTCACTATTAAAAATTTTAATATAAATTTAAATCTCCTTTGATTTAAGTAAAAAACAAATGAGTCTCTTATATTTGATATTAGTTTCCTAGAAAGTTTTTAAGAGTTCTTTTTTATATCCAATTACAATACTTCTTTTTTATATCTAATAAAAATGTGATGTGTGTACAATTTTATATTTTATTTGTTAATTTATTTTTTATTTTTATGATTAATAGTTACAAACAAATAAAGACAAAATCAATTTTGATACCATAGTACAAAATGGAGGCGTAAAACCCATACTGGGTACTACAATGGTAAGTTATTGAATTTTAAGCAATCGGTAAACTCAGATATTTTATGTTTGATCCTCCTTAGTGACTCTCAAATTAGTAATTACATATATCCGAAGTTTATTCTATATAAAAATAAATCTAATATGACCCTGAAAAAGATTTTTTGTCACACAAAAATAAAAAATAGAGGCATGAGATACCCTAACCCAAAAGAAAAATGTATCCATCCTATTGGATTTGTAATAAGGTGCAAAACATATCCATTATAATAATACTCTTTTTTCAGTTTTTACTCTTTAAAATTTGAAGCATATCTTAATCTGGCAATGAAGTGATGGCTTGCCAACCAACAACTGAGGGCGAGGTTAACTAAATCGCAAAAGAAAAAACACAATCTACGATCTTGAAACAACTTATATTATAATTAAATATGAATAATATTATCATAAATTTTATTCTAAAATAATGTTAAAAATTTTGAATCTTTGCTGAAAAAATAGTCATAAAATTTGAGTTTCGTGCATATTAACTTTCAAGTCAAATTTAATTTTAGAGGCATTTAGGCTTAAGAAGAGTAACTAGATAGATTTCTTAAAAAACAAATAAGTTAAAATAATATTACTATTGAATCCAAAAGTTACAAAAATATTGGGATAAATGTCTGACTTGTATAGCGTTTCGGATAAGTGAGATGGTAATTTGGGTGTTTCAGGTACTTTATTCTTTAAGAGATCAAATATGGTTATTGATTGAGATATTGGTGATTTAAGTCGAATCTAAAGTGTTCCAATATCACTCAAGATTGTTTTAGAGGTTTAAAGTCGAAGAAAATAAGTTTGTAGGTATTTTAGAGCTTAAACACATTTTTGGAGAATTAGGGTAAAAAGAAATTTGACACTACTTCAATATTTTTATCATACATTTTTGCCTCAATATCTGATTGAGTCATTTTCTTGCGGTATTGAAAAGAAGACTTCAAGAACTAGAACAGTGTATTTCATGGAAAATTTGTGAATCAATCTTTAACTAGGTCAAAACTGTCTTGCAAATTTCGACATAAAGTTGTATCCGTCAAAACGAAAAATAAAAGGGTGAAATACTATAAGCAAGAACCGTCCGAGCGGAGATTTCTATGTTCGAACATAAACGAATATTAGTTTGAGGATCACGTTGAAACTAATTTATAACATTCAGGATGTAATATAAAAAAATAATTATTTTTTAGTATAAAATGAGAATTGAGACATCTTTCGAGTTTAAAGTTAGAAAAACCCTTTTAATTTTAATATTTATGTCTTTACCATGATTGTTCTTGTATTATTATTATTTTTTTTTTATATCAGAAGCAACGGCTGTTCAGTTGAATCAAATGTATCACGTAAATGGGGCTATTCTTTTTTTCTTTTTATTTTTTTGTCTTCAATATGGCATGGCACATATTTGTGAGAAAAATGTGTCAATTCATATGTGTTACACGTGAAAAAATGTTGATGATGAAAATTTGCATAAAATCTATGAAACAAAATATGAAGTATATATGTAACTAAACTAAATAATATCTCATATGAACACTAAGTTTTATAATTGGTAAAAGTTCTATGAGGCAAATATAATGGGAAAATAAAAATAAAATATTTTATACAAAGTAGGGGAATGTGCTCTAGAAGCAAAACCAAAAGTCAACTTGCATGGCTAATTTGGCAAACTCAAAAAGCAAATGTCAATCTTACACATGTCTATATCGTCAAACTTGTCCTTTGTGTGCATCACAAGTCCACGATGCTCTTTGCTTCTCCACTGGGGGAGGGATCTTCCTCGGTTGGAAAATAAAATAATTATAATTTACACTCTTAAAATTTGCACTAAATTCTTATTTAGCCCTTAAAATTTTAATTTTAAAAATCAAATTCGTAGAGGTTTAATTGAATTTTAATTTAATCCTTGCATCAAAATTAACTAATTTATTATGACAAAATGACCTTTCTGCGACTAATACATAACTTTTGTAAAAAGTTATATTTGTCCTGTGAAATTTTTTTTTATGTGTGTAGCGTAGGCTAAAAAATTTTATTTTATTTTATCTGATTTTTAGAAAAAAAAGATAATAGACTAAAAAAAAACTACAGAATGAAAATTTGAGAAATACTGTGAAATATAGAGAGAGAAGTACCAATGTATTTGAGACACATATTTTTCTTTAGACAAATATACCCTTATAGGTAAATCTAGTGACATCCTTTCGTTGAAACAAATTAATAGATTTAGATGAAAGAATTTTATTGAAACTCGATTAAAACTTTAAGAATGTAATTGTTTCAATCTCAAACTCATTAACACCAATGTCGGATTCATTTCATATAACTCTTTAAAATAAGGATTGAAAAAGGGAGTCCCTTTCGATCGGTTTGTTTAGGTGGTCTTCCCTAACGTTTAGAATTGTTTTGGTTTGAGAAAGGAGCACCGGCCGAGCGCCCTGCTAGCAGTTGTTTTTTTTGTTTTGGTAGGGGGGGGTTAGCGAGGAGGATTTTGACCCCTGCTAGCAGTTGCCCTTTATTTTAGGAAACAACCTTTGTCCGTGCCACATTGCAATCACCTCTAAAAGTCAAGGCTAGTTTCTACATTAATAGGCCATGTCTTCACATTACAGCATAAAATATTGATGTTTATGATTGATTTACACTCCAAAAACAGAAAACAAAACACCCCAAAAAAAGAAAGATAAGAAAACTCTCTACCTTTAGCATGACTTGATCCTATGATCTCCAATATGGTAGTGTCCCGTGTGGCACGCCGCTACCATTTTCCAAAGCATTAAGCATCACATTTTCTCATGGGCAAACCTCAAGAACAGGTGGTTATTATACCGTCTGCAACCCGCCCCTTCCTCTGCCGGATGGCAAAACAAATTATAGCCGGAATGAGGATTTTGAAAAAGGGTTTTGGTGTGTACATAGTGAACTCAAACATCAAGGCTCACTGTCAGGCAGCCTAATAAGTACAGAGTGCTCTGGTTTGTGATAGCACTCGTAATCAATATGAACAAATGCACGTTCAACTTCAGGAAGTTTCTCAATCTTTATCTGTAGGGTCTCTCCTATGACATGTGCTTCCTTCAAAGGCAACTCTTCTGGGAGTTCAATGTCAACCTATTTGGCCAAAAAAATAATTTCACTCACTAACTGTTAAAACATAGGACTTTCTAAATGTGTATAACTAAAATCATATAACTATAAAAAACCTATGCATTTGCCAGCACTCTCTAGAATCAATATAGAAAGCCAGACTAACCTCTACAAAGTACAAAACGCCAAAAGTGTAAGCGCGGACAGTGTCAATACGCTTAACTTGTGGATGCCTTATGACAAGATATGTCAATTTCTGCAATACCTCAGGAGGGGCTGATTGTCCTATGAGTGACACTGCAACAAAAATCACATCTTAGATTAAAACACGTAGACTTGAATATCAGGAGGAGGTGCAGTGTAAAGCATTGTCAAGTATGCCTGAATATATCATCAACTTTGGATCACAAAACCTGAATTATTTAAAAAAATAATGCCAAGTTGAGTATTGCCAAATCTGGAAACTCAGATGCAATTCAGCCAAGTGGTTTTTATGCTAACTGAAGATGCACATAGATCAACACCAAGTGGCAGACCCAAGGGGAACAGTTGATTTATAATCTCTCTCCGACACTACCCAGTCCCCCACCACCTCACCTGGGATATTTGGTAGAGAATTATTGTAATTTATGGGGTGATATAAATAATTTTCTTAAAAAAACTGAAATTAGTGGTAGTGAATTAGAGGGTTGGGGGAGGTTACATGAGGCATGTTAGACTGAATAAAAATTCACTTTCTTTTCCCATAACATTCTGAAGTTAGATAGCGGCAGATGATGGGTTCAGCTTTAAGTACATGTTGAAATCTGACAAAAAATGAGACCACTCCGACTGCCTGAAGGGAAACAATGCACATTTTATTCCCTAAATGGCCAGTGCTCCTATTAAACTAGCGGCTCCTGCACAAGATTATTCGTGTGCGTGATATAAAAAAAAAGATAAAATAGGGAGTTAGCAAAGGAGAGAAATATGTGAGTGAGGAGAGATATGGAAGTTATGAGTAGTCAAAAGGGTGGTTAAATACAGTTAAGTGCACAAAATTATGTGAGGTACTGAGGTTAAAGTGGAAAAAATAAAGGATGTTTGGGTAATTTATGGGTGGACACCACAACCCACCTCTCCCTATATTCAGGGAAGAACATCAATCAAAGAATACATTTAGTATCAACCTAGAAAAAACTAAATTTAAGAGTCCAACCAACAAGATCCCAAACCATGTAAAAATCAGATCATTTACAATTTCATATAATGCAACAAGATGACTCTTTAAATGGTCCTCTGACAAACATCATGACACTAACACTTCCAGAACATAAGTTATAAGTCATCTTTCTACGAAGGACCAGCCATACAGAAACTTCAAAAATGATAAATAACCCATAATTATAATTGTGTAGGAGGTAAAAATTGCTCATGAACAAAAAGGTTGGGTGAGTTGTAACAGCATGTAACTGCTAAAGAAAGTTTTGACACCGAAAATTCTCAAATATAAAGGATTAAGGTTCTTTGCATACTTCCTACCTTTTACTTTGATCAAATAATAAATGATCAATTCAAATCAATGTTGATGAGCAAGCAGTAGCTACCTGCATTTTCCAGAACGGTTCCGGACCAATTTGAGATCGTGTAAATTGCAAGGACAATGGCACCAGCAGGGTCAATCCACCAGTAGAACTTATCCCCAAGAATGGCTGAAAGTAATCCTACTACATTTGTCACCACATCAAAATAGTGATCCTGGCAAACAGACCCCCCAAAAGGATTACAACTGAAAATGAGAAGATAAAAGGATGGAAAAATGATTGGAAATACACTTAAAATAAATATCGTTTGAAACACCTTTGCATACGCACGGACAATGTCGTTTCTTGAGTTTTTGCAGTAAATCCAGAGGGAAAATTTTACAACAGTAGCAGTTATCATAATTGAGTATAACCATATCAATTGATCTGACGTCATCTTTCCAGGAGGTTCATCCTGAATTAATTCTTCCACGGCCTGAATCAACACCTGAAATCCTAAAAAGAAAAAAAGAAAAAAAAAGCTAATATATCACAAGAACTTCATTTCTTCAGGTATCCATCCAAATTCAAAAAGGTTAGGATTGTTATTCATGTGTTTGGCGGGTTTGTGTGTGAGAGAGAGAAAGAGGCATAGAATGTTCAAAATAGGGCATAAATGCTAGCTCACCGAATATGTCGAAACATAGAATATTAGGGTACACCTAGAATTCAGATATCCACCATTCCTGCCTTACAAATAAGATAGTATTGAACCCCCTCCCCTTCCAAAAAAAAAAACCAGAGAAACAGAAGGATTGTGTGCTGTGTGTAGTTTAGTGCAAAAAATAATTAAGCTGCCACCTTGATATACAGTATCAAAGGCACATCCAGACCATACAGTTATAGAAGAAAGCACTTGTGCTAATTTTATAAAGGAGGTTAAAATATGATGTATTATGATTGTGCGAGTGTGGATAAACATTTCTCAGTAAATTGCAGTGCATAACTTGAACATATTAAAATCTTTCAGACTAAAGTGCCAATTGAAAGAAAGAAAAATATGGCTTAGTTTATAACAAAGTAAGTTGATTCATAGTCCTGTTGCATTGGCGTTGTTGTGTATTATTGCAATTGGCTTGAGTGAGTTATTCCAGCCAGTGTTTCTTTTCTTTTTTGTAGAGTCTAGAGATTTTGAGGATATCCGTCTTTTTTGCATAAATTCAGATTGTGGAATGCATTTTTATTATATTTGGAAAGCTTTTTTCCCATTTTACTTGGGTACTTGGTACGATGTCTTGCCCTCTATTAACTTCGGATTGGAGATCAGTGTGTGGAATGTAGTTCTATTATGTCTGGAAAGTTAAAGTTTTTCTTATTTTACTAGGGTACGTGGTAGGATCTCTTGCCCTCCATTGTATCCTTAACTTGTGCTTTCTTTCCTCCCCTTTCAATGAAATCCCATTTCTTGTCAAAAAAAAAAAACTCAGATCAACTCTACAAAAGGATAACTCTTATTGCTAAACAAAAGATGGACACTTCCAGCTTGTATCCTTCTCTAACAAGGGGAAGGAACATCTCTCAGCTCCTGCGGTACAGAAATTAAGGAGCCTTGCTGGTTTTGGTCTGCTACAAACACATCCCACAGTCCAAGTTTACCAGAAAACTGACATGGGCATGCAACCAAAGCATAGAGGGGGTGCAAAGTCCCATAACATGAGAGAATTAACACAGGTTTATATTTAAGAAATTAAAAAAGTCCCATAACATGTTGAGTCGCATGAGAACAATGTACAAAACATGGTTCTGTTTCAATCTTCCCACATGTTCGAAATTATGAGAGCAATTAACAAAGGAGTTGTTGGAGCCTGTGCAGTTCTTTTACATCAGAAGAGAAAAATGCGACACATTCAAAAAGAAAAAAAGGTAACTGTTGACCAATTGAATAATTTACATACATGTCACATTTAGAGGCATGTTAACAAACTCTGACATTATATCACATTGCTTTTTAATACGTTTACCTCTAGCCCTTCTGTACAAAAGCGCCCATGAAAGGAGAGAGCCCAATTAGTTGATAGCAGTATAATATAGGCAGTGTAGTTAAGAGTGAAAGCCCTCTACAGGCATCGGAATCCACCAATGACCGAGGCAAAAGGCAATGAAAAAGCACTTGCCTGAGTAACAAGCTACTTATAAATTAACTAAACATGGCATTGAACTTCAGGAATTTACTTACTCTAGGTTAGGCAGTATCATTATTGCCATAATAATCTTCAGGTAACACTAGAATGTTATTTGCTCAGGCTATCCATCACAATGTGCGCAGATTGATCATTCCAACTGACTCTTTTATGATGATTCATAAGGTTGGCAGATAGAGCACCCCTATGGATCATGCATCAGTTTCTACTTCATGATTGCTTCATTTCTTGCTTTCCAGGTTTCACTCGATGTTCTTCTTTTCCTATTCTTTGATATTCTAGACCTAGCTTACCATCTGTCTCTCTCTCTTCTTTGAGGTTTCAGTCCTAAATTTAGGTATGGGCTCCAGCTGGTCCCTTTCGTTTATTACCCCGTTGCTACAAATACAACCCTGCCCTCAAGTTCCAAGATTGCCTTCAATGAAGAAGTTTAAGTAAACCAGCGCCTGTTGAACCAAATGAGGTGCTTGCCTAGGTGATGCCTCATTAGCCTCACCTCGCTTGGAGTGTTGGATTCTGATAATTGCAATCATGCCTAGCCTTCTCACATAAATGGCTGCCTGAGCGCTATACCACACTGATCTTACAGAAAGTTAAAACTTCAAGCAAACTATGGTCACACTCCCCATAAAAATATCTACTAGACAATAATCAATCCACAGTTGTTTATTTATCTTTCTCTTTCCCATCTCGTTTCTTTCTTAGCCTTTAATGTGTTCTGGCAAGTGGCCAAGAACACTAGAAAAGTACCACACTTTTTTTTTTTTTCATGTATTATTCCAGCAACAGATCAGAAGCCAAAGATAAAAAGAAATTTTCACTGGGAAATCTAACTGGAAAGTAGTGGCTGGTCAAAGATTTGATAGCATACCAAGTGTAGCCATGATAGCAGCAAAGATTATTATGCCCACCGGCTGCACCCTCAACTTTCCAATAGGATATTTATAAATATTCACGTTTTTCATTGACAAGTGAGTGAACCACAAAATGGCACCAGCCATGAGATCAAGCAAGGAATCGAGTGTTGATGCAGCAATTGCTAGGGATCCACTTTTTACGGTAGCATAAATCTGCACCATGAAATGCAAGGGATTATTGTGACAACCAGAAAACATAGTGATATCGTTAGTTCAAATTATAAAGATGTCATAAAGAGGTACTTAAATGTACTGCTGTTATTCATCCTGATATAATAGTAACAGTCTCCTGTTATGTTCTGCATAGAAACTTTGTTTTTTTCCTCGAAAACAGCGATTTATTCAACAAAACAACATACACACGTGGTTCAAATTAACGAAACACTTAAAAAAAGGTTCAAGCATTGGCAAATGAGATGTTGCTATATAATAACTTACAAATATTGTTTACACTTTAAAGATTTAGAGTCTAATTCAGGTGCACCAACCGACCCCAACACTATCTCAGGACATAACTATCAAATGTGCACCACCCAACACCATCTGAGGACATAACTATAAAATGTGTATAACCCAACAAATCTCAGGACATACCTATTAAATGTCACATCACAAAAATGTAGAGTGAACGTGAAACAAGTATTAGGTATAAATCACCTTCAATGCCAGCAATATGATGTTTGTATAATTTGATATCTTCATTGCTCTTTCCTGTTGGGCTTGTTCTTCATCATCATATTCATCAATGCTTTCAGAGGTCACCACAGAATCAACTCCCTCAAATGATTTTAAGGTTGTAAATTGTCTCTCATAGTATTCCTTTTCTCCTGCAAATAAGAAGTACTCAAACAATTAGGAAGAGTAAAGTTGGAAAAAAAAAAGAAGAGAAGTAAGAGAGAGGGAGATGGAGAAGTTTGTAGACTATATTACAGCACATGGAGTGTCCCTCTTCATGTGAGATGCAACTGATCTGGAAATTTAGTAGTGATAATCTACTTGCTACAAGCTTCAAAAATATTGACTTCAATCAAGTATAGCATGCTTAGTATTGATTGTGATCAATACTTGCATAATAGAAATAAACATGCTTCTTTGAAGATCAATAAAAAGTATAGTATGAATTCCAATAACCATGGTTATGTCATTCCTACTGATTAATGCCTCAATGCAGTTGGCTCAAATCCTAAATTAAATTAAAGGACACAATACACATATGGACATTAACCTAAAAAGATCAAGTGAAATGAATCATTAAAATGAGCAAATCTTATTTTACCACATGATTAGAGTTAGAACCCCTGCACATTACTCGTCACCCTAAAAAATAGTTACCTAACCATTCAAGTGCATAGTCACAATTTTCATCCTTTACCTGGCCAATTTTATGCACCCTTGTGGAGACTCGGTATACAGAAAACCATAAAAAAATCACACTAGAAATGCTTTAAAAAATCAAATACCCAACTCTTTTTGATTTAGAATAAAAAGGAAAGCCTCATTAGCACAAAGCAATATCATATTTGAATTGCTAAATCTCTTTTGGGTCATAGACCTTCAAATCCAATTGAACAAAAACCAGAAAAATAAAAGACTCCATATTGACTCAGGATGGTTATTCGGAAAGAGAGGCTCGTTTTCCAACCACCAATGACTGGTGTTTGTGGCCGCAACGTGTATACAATTATGTGCGGGTGTTGGGTACCGTTCTGGCGCTCTCTCTCTCTCTCTCTCTTCAGTTCGGTCGAATGTTAGTGAGTGATGTGCCAATACTAACCATAAAAGGCTAAAATGAAGTTTGTCAATCATTTATAACTGAAAACACTTCATATTTTCGTCATCAATTTGTGATCAAAGCTTACAGTAACTATTACATATAATCACGATTCACCACGAGAAGGATAAATTTCTCTTCTTTTTTCTCTAATCAGAAAATAAACCGTAGCCACATGCACTTAACTGTAACCAAATCTGCACAATTGGATCCTCCTGATAACTCTGCGAGTCAATCTTTACATACGTTTTGTGTGTGTGTGTGTGTGTGTGTGTGAGAGAGAGAGAGAGAGAGAGAGAGAGACCTTGGGTTAGGTCAGGGATTTTGGAGAGATCGTGAAGAGAGAAGGACTCGAGATCAACAACGGAACGGACCTTGTCGGGGAGTCTCGCAATAAAATCGTTTCTGAGCGAGTTCACCGAGTTCCGGCGACTGAGTCGGCCACGGCGCCCGCTCCCACTGAGCTTCCACCCATCCAACAGCGGCAGTTTCGTATCATTGCGCTCTTCCTCCATCGAATTCCGACTCTCAAGTGACTCACACACACTGTGTCAGATATATTGATATGTGCATTAATTTGCTGATTGACTTATTTATAGGGCTTGAATAATAAGCCAACTTATTCTTAATAAGCCGATCCACCTCCACCTGCGCAAGTTGTAAAAGTGGACAGTCTTGTCGGTTGGTAGTTAACTAGTTGGGTAGCAGCAGACATAATGTTAGGGTAAATTTCGATAGTAGAAGATTCTTACAACTTTGTTGGAATGATTTTTGAGAATGGTTTGAATTAATTTTTTCAAATTTTTTTAAACTCAATCTCTTCTTTATAAAAATATGATGCAACATTATATTTAATTTATATTTATGTTCGATATACAACATAATATTTACACCTAGATTCGACCTATATATCATGATTGTTAATTACTATAAATCTTATAAATGACTATTTCACCACTAGATCAATTTAATTTATACTTATATTAAGGGTACAATTATTTTTTGTATTCTTAACCCCTTAATTTATCTTTCAAAACTCACCCTTTAGATTTAACGAAATTCATGATCATGAGTTTAATATCCGAGCTAATTACGAGCCGGGTTTGATAATTTATGATTAAATTTGTGATTCAAACATGGGATTTAAGAGTCCTTTGAACTATTTCTCCCAAATTCATCTTCTCAAGCCCTCCATACCCTCTTACCAAACAGCCCCTTAGAACGTCCGTCATCTATTTTATTTTTTTAAGATTGCATTTCTTAGCACAATAATAGCTAGGAAGCATAAAAGTAAGGATCAAACACTTAGGTAGGTTGTTAATCGAATCGAATTTTGCGAGCTTGAACTTGAATTTGAGTTTATCGAGTTTGTTTTTTTAAACGAGTCTAAAAAATTATTCAAATTCAACTCGTTTAAAATTCGAGTCAAACTCAAGTAGCTCGACTATTTTTAAACTCGTTTTTTTAAACGAACATAAAAAATAGTTCAAACTCAATTCATCAAGAGCACGAGTCGATTTCAAACCAAACCCGAATAATTTTTCTCGATTAACACCTCTACACTTGGAATGGTGGTGAACGGGATGAGGGCTATGAGAATGGAAGAAACTATTAAGCAGCTTTACGAAACCTCTGATCGGCAAGGTCAAAAATTGCTCCAAGTACTGTTGTCTAAATGATAGCAGCTCTTTGATCTCAAATATGACCAAATGTCAAAGGAAATCTAATATATATTCTAAGAACAAGACAACAGTCTGATACTAATGTAGTAATTTTTAGAAGTGTAAAAGCCTCAAGAGCGACACCTAGGATCCTGTCATTCTAAAATCACTTCCTCACAAGGTCTCCGATGGTAAGAATGTTGAAAGAGAGTGATCATTCATTTTTATCTATATAATAAAATAACGTATAATTTAATTTTCAAAAATAAACAAAATGACTTTTGTTATTCGCGGTTGAGATCGCTTTAAATTTTATTTTAAAATTAATCTAACGGCTAATATTAATACCTTAAATTAAATATGAAAAATAGGGTCCTAAAAGTGTGTTTGAATTGACTTTTTAAAATTACTTTTAGAAATAATTTCTCATATATACATAAAAAAAAAAAAAAATATTTGAAACCACCTCACCACCACCGTTACCATCACCACCACCACTACCACCGCCACCACCGTCGTCGCCACCACCACCACCCCTACCACCGTGGCCACCACCACCATTGTTGCCGTCAACACTACCCCCCACCACAGTCGCCGCCACCACCCCCCCTACACCTTCGTCGCCACCACTGCCACCACCACCATCGCCACCCCACCACAACCATCATCGTCTCCTACCACCACCACTGGCACCCACCACCTCTTATCCCCACTACAAACTAATGTTTAAATACTTTTATATCTTTTCTATATTTGTGATTTAATTTTGAATATTAATACAAATATGTTTATTGTTTAATATTTTTTATTATTCTGTGCTTTCAGACACAGACAATAACTTGTTCATTATTATGCTATGCTTCAATACTCTTATATATCTATCATAACCCTATTTTTAAGGTTGGGCTTGTAACTGACAGTGAACTTGAGGGGAGTTGATGACTCCCCCTGACGATCGTTGGCTATAAAGCGGGCATTTGATTGTGTAGGAGCCTGTAATCACCCTTATCCAGGTCATACGCACCCATAAGCGGCCCGAATCACATCCAAACTTGAATTCCACATAAGCAATATTGTTTACGGCTAATAATCAAGCCGAATTTTGAGGGCTAATAATCTAATTGAGCTTTTTTTTTTGAACGAACTTAAAAAATTGTTAAAACTTTGTTTATTTAGAAAACGAGTCGAGCCCGAATAACTCAATTATTTTATATATAAACAAGTTAAGTTTTGTAAGCTTGAGTTAAGTCTATTTAGGCACTTTCTTTTAAAATAAACTTAAAAATTGTTCAAGTTTAACTCGTTTAAAAAAATAACTCGAACCCAAAACGAACTAAACTAGAGCCGAATCCAAATAACTCGGATCGATCATCTATCTTTTGTGTCACAAACCATTTGCCCATGTGTGGGTTTTAGAACAAACAAGGTCGGAAAAAGAGAAAATTTGGTGTTCAATGTTTCTATCATCCCACGGTAGAACAAAGGCACATGGCAAAAGCACCTACAAATTGCCACTGTCTTCGTTTAACATACTCTGTAGGCTAAGGGAGAGGGATAGAGAAGGATAGAGGGGATATTGCAGTGAAAATTGAATGAAATAAGAAGAATATTTTTTGAATTTTTACGGATTCTACAACAACGTCTATTTTAGTTCTTTGTGTATAAATTGAGGGGAATTCAGTGTAAAAGTTAAAAGTACGAGGAGCTAGTTTGCAAGTATCCCTAAGTAGATTGAAATTTTTTATAATTAACCCTTTTTTCAGAATTGTTCGTCATAACACAATAAAATTTTCGATTACTACTAAACGCGCTGTTTCAATAGCTCGATATAAAAGAGTCTCCAATTTATTTGTGGGCTATTGATTACAAGAAACAAAAAAGTAACAAACAAATAGTCATACATATCCTAGTTTTACTAGAGAAAAGAAAAGCATATACTACTCAGTATTGACAAAATAGCTTTTTTGTCCCGCAATCGGACCCATAACTGAAGATGAATGGTCTATTTTGGGTGACGGCCAATGTGAACTCAAAGACCATTTTCTAAAGACCCACGAGCTAGTGGTTGAAATGTGCCCATTAGAGGGGTCGGAGAGGTTAGGTCCACCAGTGGCATTAAATAAGTTTGTTAAGTCAGATCAAGTATTTAGTTGTGTAGAGCCTACCAAAATCAACTATAAAGTATATACATTATAGTAAGATGTATTTTCAATAAAATCGATACAATTTATTCAATTTATGTGATTACATGTAAAATAAATTTGACCAATTCATCGGATAATAAATTTTTTTATCTTAATTTCGTTGTAGAATTGCTTGAGCCCAACCAAATTCCGACCCAATTTCATCACATCATTTGTAGTTTTCATGCAAATTTATTAAATAATCCAACAATTCTAGCTCAATTTTTATGCTCAATTTCACCGAATAACACTATCATTCGACTCAATTGAAAAAATAGTGTAAGGTCCAAACACTATAACTGGGGTGGAGAACGACGAGATTCAAACCCGTGACTTCAAGGTTCAACAACCAATTGATATCTACGGGCTTTTCTCAATTTGGCTCATTGCTCCAATCATCCCCATTGACTTGGGATCAAAAAACTGGGATTTGTTTTGGGACCCCAAGTATTGCTCAATTCAGTATATTCTTCAACAGAGAGTAGAATGAAAGATTCTAACAAGGAATTTAAAGAAGTATATTAGTAATTCTAGAACAATCAAACAATTAATAGCCAAAACAAGTCGAACATAAAA